TGATTTTTTTTTTTTTTTTTTTTGAGACAGAGTCTCACTCTGTTGCCAGGCTGGAGTGCAGTGGTGCAATATCGGCTCACCGCAGCTTCCGCCTCCCAGGTTCAATTGATTCTCCTGCCTCAGCCTCCCAAGCAGCTGAGATTACAGGCACCCACCACCACACCCAGCTAATGTTTTGTATTTTTGTTAGAGATGGGGTTTCTCTATGCTGGTCAGGCTGGTCTCAAACTCTCGACCTCCGGTAATCCACCCACTTTGGCCTTCCAAAGTGCTGGGATTACAGGCATGAGCCACCACGCCCAGCTCACATTCTGATTTTTAATCCTCACAACAGCCCTAAGTGAAGGAAACTTTTATCTGTGTTTTACAGACAAAACTGAAACACAAAGAGGCTAAGTAAGTTGCCCCCAGTCATCTAGTAGCTAAGTGGCAGAGCCAGGACAACCCAGGCAGCCCAACTTCAGAGCCTGTGCGCCTCACTGCTGAGTGACAGCTGCCTCTAGCACCTTGGCTTTTCTCCTTCCAGACCTCCCAAACACAACAGTGTGTGAATGCACAAGAGTACAGGGACCACACAGTTGTACAGCATGGCATCCTGCTCTCACAGATTACATGACGAGTATTTTATCCTGTGGGTCTGTCAGCCCCTGGACATGTTGTATGTATACAGAGGGACGTATGTGTTTCTCAGCCTCAGCCCTAGTGACATTTTGTGCCAGATAGCTCTTTGCTGTGGCATTGTCCTGGGCTCTTTAGGATGTCTGCCAGCATCCCTGGCCTCTACCCAGTAGATAACAGTAGCACTCTACCACCCACACGACAATGAAAATTCTAGACACTGACAAATATTCCCCAGGAAGCAAAACTGCTCCTCACTGAGAACTGAGTATGTGTGCATGTTTTTGTGTGGATGTGTGTATTTATATGCCCCTCTCCATGAAAGATCTAGAACTTTTATGAAAAATCTTAGAGGGGAGCCAGGCACAGTGGCTCATGCCTGTAAGCCCAGCAGTTTTGGAGGCTGAAGTGGGCAGATCATCTGAGGTCAGGAGTTCGAGACCAGCCTGGCCAGCATAGTGAAACCCTATCTCTATTAAAAATACAAAAATTAGGCCAGGCACAGTGGCTCACGCCTGTAATCCCAGCACTTTGGGAGGCTGACGTGGGCAGATCACGAGGTCAAGAGTTCGAGACCAGCCTGAGCAACATGGTGAAACACCATCTCTACTAAAAATACAAAAATTAGCCGGGCATGGTGGTGCATGCCAGAAATACCACTCGGGAGGCTAACACAGAACTGCTTGAACCCAGGAGGCAGAGGCTTCAGTGAGCCGAGATCATGCCACTGTACTCCAGCCTGGGCAACAGAGCAAGACTCCATCTCAAAAAAAATCTTAGAGGGGTTTACTTCCCAATGAAGTTTTAAATTGCACTGATCTACAATATCCACTTTAATTAAATTATTAACTCCGTATAATTCAAAGGCTGTCCAATATTCCAACTTTTGGATGTAACATATTTGGCCTAATTATTCTCAACCAGGAGTAGGATTTCCTCTAGGGGAATTTGGCAGTATGAGGGATACTCTGGTTGTCTGAGACTAGAGGATGCAACAGGGATTGAGTGGGCAGGTTTGGATGCTAACCAGTCCCACACGAAGGATTATTCTAACCAAAAGGTCCCCAGCACCCCTACTAATTCCTATCATGGCTGGGAAGTTGGGTTGTGCCCAGTGTCTCACTGTTATAAATCAGGCAGTGGGAACCATCCCAGGCTCATCGATTCCTGCCTTGAGCCAAGTACCTAGAAGTAGGATCACTAGAAGAAACAGTCGCCACTCGGGGCTACCGACACACAGCTGCTGTCATCCAGAAATGGCTGCCACCAGGAAGCCTGACCTCACCTGGTAACGGCTCAGCCGGTCCTGCTTCATCTGCTCAAACCTGCGCTTCAGTTCATTCTGCCGCTCCACGCGCTTCTGGGCCCGGCTCGCATACAGCAGCCGCCCGCTCACCTCCTTCCCATTCATATGGACCACAGCCTGGAGAGATGGGAACGGGACATGCGTGGTAACCACTTGGATGTGGCCCTGGCCCAGGCCCATCTTCTGGATCTAGAGGAATCACCTGCAAACCAGGCTGGCCACACTAGCTTAGAATAATCAGTACCAGGACAAAGGCCATTTAAGTATACCCACTTTGGCTCATGCCTGTAATCCCAGTACTTTGGGAGGCAGAGGCAGGAGGATCACCTGAGGTTGGGCGTTTGAGACCAGCCTGACCAACATGAAGGCTGAGGCTGGAGAATCGCTTGAACCCGGGAGGCAGAGGTTGTGGTGAGCCAAGTTGTGACATTGCACTCCAACCTGGGCAACAAGATTGAAACTCTGCCTCAAAAGAAAAAAGTCAGCCTGGGGCTCTATTTTAAAAAACAAAATTGACGGCCAGGCGGGGTGGCTCACCCCTGGTAATCCCGGCACTTTGGGAGGCCAAGACAGTCAGATCCCTTGAGGTCAGGAGTTCGAAACCAGCCTGGGCAATGTGGTGAAACCCCGTGTCTACTAAAAATACAAAAGTTAGCCAGGCATGGTGGTGGGCACCTGTAATCCCAACTACTTGGGAGGCTAAGGCAGGAGAATCCCTTGAACCTGGGAGGCCTCCGGAGGTTGCAGTGAGTTGAGATTGCACCACTGAACTCCAGCCTGGGCGACAGAGCAAGACTCCATCTTAATAAAATAAAAGTAAAAATAAAATTGAGATTTGAAAAGTTTCCCATATTTAAAATGTAAATATGGCCGGGCGCCGTGGCTTATCCCAGCACTTTGGAAGGCCAAGGCGAGTGGATCACCTGAGTTCAGGAGTTTGAGACCTATGTGGTGAAACCTCATTTCTACTGAAAATACAAAAATTAGCTGGGCATGGTGGTGGGTGCCTGTAATCCCAGCCACCTAGGAGGTTGAGGCAGGAGAATCGCTTGAACCTGAGAGGCAGGGGTTGCAATGAGCTGAGATCATGCCACTGCATTCCAGCCTGGGCAACAGAGTGAGACTCCATCTCAAAGATAAATAAATAAATAAATAAATTAAAATAAAATGTAAATATTATATATATTCCCGTATTTTAAATTTGTATTACTATGTGAAAGAAGCCAATCTAGGCAACATACTGTATGTTCTGGAAAAGGCAAAACTACGGAGCCAGTGAAAAGATCATTGGTTGCCAGGGGTTAAGGGGCAGGAGGAATGAACAGATGGAGCACAGGGGATTCGTAGGGCACGGAAAGTACTCTGCATGACGCCATAATAGTGGATACATGTCATCATGCATTTGTCCAAACCCCTAGACTGTATACCGAAAGTAAATCCTAACATAAACTTGGGACTGTGTGTGTCAATGATGTGTCAAAGTAAGTTCATCACTTGTAACAGGTGTAACCCTTGGGAGCAGGACACTGATAATGGCAGAGGCTGTTGATGTGTGGGGGCATGGGGTACACAGAAAACCTCCGTACCTTCCACTAAACATTGCTGTGAACCTAAAACTGTATTAAAAAGAGGAAAAAATTTTAGGTTCCAAGTGCAACTACACATGGATAATTTGAACAAAGCAGCAAGCACGATTCTTTCATAATGGCATGACAGCATCAACATCCTTCACTTCGAGTTGGATTTCACGGCACAACGTGAACCTTTTTGCTAACTGTGAGAGCCTTTTTGTGTGTGAAGATGGGGTCTTGCTGTTTTGCCCTGCTGGTCTCAAACTCCTGAACTCAAGCAGTCTTCCCACCCAGATTCCTCAAGCGCTTGGATTACAAGCCTGAGCTATCATACCTGGACAGCTTTTTAAAAATTAGAGGCAGGATCTTGCTATGTTGCCCAGGCTGGATGCAAACCCCCGGGCTCAAGGAATCCTCCTGCCTCAGCCTCCTGTGTAGGCTGAGACTACAGGTACACACCACCACAGCTGGTGGAAACTGATTTAAGTGGTCAGTTCAAGAGTAAATATTTGTATATAACGATGACTTTTGCATCCCTCTGCGGACCTCAGGGCTCAGAAGCGAGCAAAGAAGAATGAAGCCTTTGCACCACCGGAAGGACAGGCCCTGCCTGCACATAGGACTCTCCCACCCTCTTGACCTAGGCTGGGGAGGGACTTTCTTCCCCCCCACAGGAAGCTGGGGCCCCCTCTCCCCAGTCCCGGCTCGGTGCCCCTGTCCTGGAACAGAGCCATGGCGAGGCTCCTACCTTCTGGGCTTCCTCGTGCTTCTCAAAGTTGACAAAGCCAAAGCCCCGCGAGCGGCCGCTGTTGTCCCTCATCACCTTCACACTCAGCATCTTCCCTGCAGAGGACCAACCTGGCTCAAAGGGGAGTCTGCAAAGTCCCAGAACATGTCCTCCCTTCCCACAAGTCCTCGGGAAACCCCAAAAGGGCCCCTCCTCCCTACCAGAATTTGGAGGGGAAGAGGAAAAACAGTGATGCCCCTGCTCCCTCGGGATCACACCCACCAAACTGGGAGAAGAGGTCCTGCAGGCCTTGCTCGTCCACATCCGCCGGGAGGTTCTTCACGTAGATGTTGGTGAACTCCAGGGCTCGCGCTCCCAGCTCCGCCGCCCGCTCCCGTCGAGACTTGAAGTGGCCCACAAAGCTGCAGGCACACCAAGAGGTAGGCAGCTGCCAGCCATCAGCCACCCCCATGCCAACTCCCACTCAACTGCTGCCCTTCTCCAGGCTTACATATCCCTCATCAGGAAACTGGGCAGCCTTGACCTCCTTGGCTCAAGTGATCCTCCTGTCTCAGCCTCCTTTGTAGCTAGGATGACAAAGACCACCTGCCACCATACCTCGCTAATTTTTTTATTTTTTATTTTATAGCGATGGGATCTCACTTTGTTGCCCAGGGTTGTCTTGAACTCTTGGGTTCAAGTGATCCTCCTGCCTCAGCCTCCTAAAGTGCTAAAGTGCTGGGATTACAGGCATGAGCTACTGTGCGTGGTTTCTTTTTTTTTCTTTAAACCTTTTGCATTGTTACTTCTAAGACAGAAAGAACATCCCCAAGGCCCAGTTACCTCCAACAGCCAAGATATTATACTGTGTTCCAGAGTTTGTCCCCAGCAGAAGGTTAGGTAAATTTCATTCTTGCGACAAATGCACGCATAAGTACTACTATATACCAGGCAGCTGAGAGCACAGAATAATGAGCCTGGGAGTCAGACAGACAAGGGCTTAAATCCTCGCTCTGCAGTTGCCTAGCTGTGTGACCCCAGGCAAGTTACTTAACTTCTCTGAGCCTCAGAGTTCATTACTATAAATTTGGTAATCAAATTCTCATCATAAGGCTTTACTTATTAACATGCATTAGATGCACTGGGGAAGCAGAGGTAAGTGAATTAGATGCAGTCAGTGCTAGTGTTGCTCTGGGGGACATTGACTAAAATCACTTAAATACAAGATTGATTTCATTTTTTTTAAATTTTTTTTTTAAATTGAGAGAGTCTCTTTCTGCTGCTCAGGCTGGAGTGCAGTGGTGCGATCTCGGCTCACTGCAACCTCCACCTCCCAGGTTCAAGTGATTCTCCTGCCTCAGCCTCCCGAGGTAGCTGGGACTACAGGCGCGTGCCACCACGCCCAGCTAGTCATTTTTGTTTATTATTTTTTTGAGACTGAGTTTCACCCAGGCTGGAGTGCAGTGGTGTGATCTCGGCTCACTGCAAGCTCTGCCTCCCCGCTTCCAGCAATTTCCCTGCCTCACTCAGTCTCCCAAGTAGCCGGGATTACAGGCATGTGCCACCATGCCTGGCTAATTTTTGTACTTCTGGTAGAGACAGAGTTTCACTATGTTGGCCAGGCTAGTCTCGAACTCCTGACCTCAGGTGATTCACCCCCCTCAGCCTCCCAAAGTGCTGGGATTACAGGCGTGAGCCACCTCATCCAGCCACAAGATTAATTTTAAAAGTTCATTCCCAAGTTTATATAAACATATCTAGGAAAGTATCCTAGATTTTAAAAATAAAAATAAATTCTGATGTTATCTGTAGCACATTTAGCACAAACAAAGCCATACCAGGCACCGAAATTTGAAGAAAACTGAGTGGCAAAGGTAGCCTTGAGTAAATTGGAGCGAACAAAGAACATTCTTCTGAGAGCTGGGAAAAGCCAAGATTCGTTTGACAGGTTGACTGGATGCTCCCCTGAGAAACCCTGGACAAAATGACTCTCAGTGCATCCCCCAGCTCAAAGCCATCCTCCCTCCATGGCCCTGACCATGGGGAATGGCCCCTCGGATGAGCAAAATCAAAGTTCTGGGTAGGGAAGAGCCAGAGGCAGATTCTCTCTAGCACCTGCCTCCCGGTTTTCCCATCTGTGAAATGGGGATGATACCAAAGTTAGCGGTATGAAGGGGCAGGCTAAGCATATGCCTACTTTTTATTCTGCCAACATCCCATGAAACAACACAAAAGGTTTAAAGAAAAAAAAAAAGCCAGGCGCAGTAGCTCATGCCTGTAATCCCAGCACTTTAGCAGGCTGAGGGCAGAAAGATCGTTTGAACTTGAACTTGATCTTTCGAGACCAGCCTGGGCAACAGTGAGACCCCATATCTACCAAAAAAAAAAAAAAAAAATCAAAAAGCCAGGTGTGGTGGCATGTGGTCACCTGTGGTCCCAGCTACAAAGGAGGCTAAGGCAGGAGGATCACTTGAGCCCAGGAGGTCAAGGCTGCAGTGAGTTGTGTTTGTGCCACTGCACTCCAGCCTGGGCTACAGACCAAGACCCTGTCACACACACACACACACCCTATACTGAGAAGGCAGGAAAACAGATGAAATTACTGAGTCCATTGATGATATGACCATTAGCCAGTCCCTCTAGAGTTTTAAAATCGCCACTTCCTTTACTACTCAGAACAATCCTCTAATGTAGATCATCAGCTCCATCTTTCTGTGAGGAAAGAGTCCCTGAGAGACTGAGCAACTCCTCCGAGGTTGCACTTCTAGGAGGGGTGCCTGCCACTCAAGTGTCTGGTGCCCATTAGCAGCTGGGGGGTAGCATCGATTCCTAGTCGGCCATGCCATGCTTCTGTCCCTGCAGCCTCTGCTCCTCCCTCGGGCCCAGCCACTCACACTTTGCGGTCATTCAGCAGCATCCCGTTCATGGTGTTGATGGCCTGCTGTGCGGCCTCATGGGTCTCAAAATGAACGAAGCCGAAACCGCGGGAGCCATGCTCGTCACACGCCACCTGGGCCACAGGAAGGAAGGACAGGAAGAGTACTGACAGAGGGTTCAGGAAGAAAAGAATGGCAAAGGTGACAATGACCAGTCTCCACATAACTGCTGTGTGCATGGAAAAGGTGATCCTGCATGTTAGGGATGAAAAATGGAAGCTCAGAGAGTGCCAGCACTCAAGTTAACAACAGATTAAGGAAGGTTGGGCGTGGTGGCTCATGCCTGTAATCCCAGCACTTTGGGAAGCGGAGGTGGGCATATCACTTGAGGTCAGGAGTTCGAGACCACCATGGACAACATGGTGAAACTCTGTCTGTGCTAAAAAGTCAAAAAATTAGCTGGATGTGGTGGCAGGTGCCTATAACTCCAGCTACTCAGGAGGCGGAGGCAGGGGAATTGCTTGAACCCTGGGAAGCAGAGTTTGCAGTGAGCTGATACGGCATCACTACACTCCAGCCTGGGTGAAAGAGTGAGACTTTGTGTCAAAAAAAAAAAAAAAGAAAAAGAAAAACGAAAAGAGAGAGAGAAAAGAAAAAAACAGATTTAAGAGATATTTAAGAGGGAGAAAGCCACCACAATGAAGACAGGTTTCATCTACACTACATACCAGCTTTTAGATGTCTTCCTAAAGCGATGGGCAAAAGGGTTAGATTCAAAACCCTCAAATCTGCATCCTTGTTTCTATCAGCAAACTAGAAACAACCTGAGAATTCATCAAGGGGGAGACTGGGTGGTACATTCATGCTGGTCTACTCTGTGTGCACAGTTGAAGAGAATGCGGTAGGTTACAACGCTGACAGTCTCATTAGGTAAAGAAACAAAAATCCATTCAGCCTAAAGTAGCCATCTACCATTGGAAATTTTGAAAAGGACACACATATGTATTAATGTTACTTTTGGGGACTAGGGTTGAAAGAGATGGAGCCTTCTTTTTCACTTTCTTCCCTTCCACATTGTTTAAACTTTGCCAATTCATGAATTACTGCAACAACAAACTCATTTCAATTTTATTTCCTTTTTTTGAGATGGAGTTTTGCTCTTGTTGCCCAGGCTGGAGTGCAATGGTGCAATCTCAGCCTCCCGGGTTCAAGTGATTCCCTGCCTCAGCCTCCCAAGTAGCTAGAATTATAGGCACGTGCCCCACCATGCCTGGCTAATTTTTTGTATTTTTAGTAGAAACGGGATTTCACCATGTTAGCCAGGCTGGTCTCGAACTCCTGACCTCCAGTGTTCTGTCCACCTTGGCTTCCCAAATTTTTTGTATTTTTAGTAGAGACAGGGTTTCACCATGTCTGCTAGGCTGGTTCGGGACTCCTGACCTTATGTGATCTACCTGCCTTGCCCTGCCAAAGTACTGGGATCACGAGCCATGAGTCACTGTACTCAGCTCAATCTCAATTTTTTTTTAAAGAAGCACAACATCCTACTCCCATTCTGTAACTCTCCTGACTCAAGTCAGCAGGACAAAACTTGGGAAAAAGGAAAGACTTTCTTTTTTTTTTTTTTTTTTTTTTTTTGAGACGGAGTTTCGCTCTTGTTACCCAGGCTGGAGTGCAATGGCGCGATCTCGGCTCACCGCAACCTCCGCCTCCCGGGTTCAGGCAATTCTCCTGCCCCAGCCTCCTGAGTCGCTGGGATTACAGGCACACGCCACCATGCCCAGCTGAATTTTTGTATTTTTAGTAGAGACGGGGTTTCACCGTGTTGACCAGGATGGTCTCGATCTCTTGACCTTGTGATCCACCCGCCTCGGCCTCCCAAAGTGCTGGGATTACAGGCTTGAGCCACCACGCCCGGCAGAAAGACTTTCTAGTTCACATAGTCCCCATCCCTCTTGTTGAACTTTGCAGAAAGACCACTAACCCCCACTTCAAGGTGACTGTGGCTACTGCCTCAGATCAGTGGCATTTTTCTGCCTAGTTGACAACCGCTACTTCCCAGCCTAGCTTCCACACTACTACTAGGATGCTCTTTCTAAAATGTAATTCTGACCACATCCCTCCAATCTCTAGTAGCTTCTATCCACAGAACTATATGAACTCCGCATTTGAGGCACCCCAATGAGTCCTGCACAAACCTTGCTTCCAAACTCATGCCTCGCATGTACCCCTCCACCTCTCATCTCCAAACAGGGTCCCTCCACCTTCAACTCAAGCCCCAGCTCTGCCATTTGGATTTAATCACATTGACTGGGTCCCCACTGTGGGTAAGAACCTGCTAAGGACATTGCATACTTCATTTGTTATCTATGCCATGAGAGCCCTTCCAGGCAATTCTTCACCTCTGAGCCCCAGAGGGAAAATGAGAACAAATGACTCGTGCAAGGTGAGCCAACAGAAGTAATTATGTGATTGTTACAGTGATCGCTTAGAAGCTAAACAGTGCGCCAGGTACCCTTTTAAGGAATATACATGTATACATTAAACCTAACACACAGAAAGCCCATGATAAATCTGCCATTATAATTAAGAACTTAATACACAGTTAAGAGTCTCTTTCTTCCATTGATCCTCAAAGACAGGAAACAACCCCATCTCCGTCACGGATAACCCTTAGCGGATCACTACATCTCCTCAAGTCTATCTGCTCCTCTGAGCCACAGGGACAGCCTTTTATTGACCAGGAATTTGAGAGCCCTCATTGAGAACTTAAGGATTATACTTGGCACACAGTAACTTTTGATAAAAGTTCTGACACATAAGCCACCAAAACTGTCCCCATCCTCCCTAGAATAGCAGACACTTCAAAGGCTATAGGGAAACGATCAACCATCCTCATAAAATCTAGAGGCTGAACACCCAGGTTTAAGCCCTCTGTTCAGGACATGCTGTCATATGGCCGCTGATCCTCAGCATCCTCATATAGAAGGTCAGAGAAATAATCAGAGTCCTTCTCAAATGATATACATCCATTGGCTCAACAGATATTTATTGAGCACCTAATATGTGTCACATCTTATTCTAAGCATTGGGATGCAATAATGACTAAGAATAAGACCACGCATGGAACTTACATCTAATCTAAGAGAATTAGATAAAAACAAGGTTTCATCCCTTGATTGCCATCATGGCCCCAATTAATGGCCTTCCTGTAGCCACATTCTTCATCCTATCATTTCTCCTGCCCTCTCACTCTGAATGTGGGCTGGTCTTGTGACTTGCTTTGGCCAACAGAATGTAGTGAAAGTGGCCAGTTGTGGTGGCTCATGGCTGTAATCCCAGCTACTCCGGAAGCTAAGTCAGGAGAATCGCTTGAACCCGGGAGGCTTGAACCCAGGAGGTTGCAGTGAGCTGAGATCACACCACTGCACTCCAGCCTGGGCAACAGTCAAACTCCATCTCAATTAAAAAAAAAAAAAAAAAAGAATGTAGTGGAAGTGATGGTTCCAGTTCCGCATTTAGGTCTCAAGAGGCCCAGCGTGCTTCCACTCTGTCTTCCGGGCCCTTGCCATTGCCATGAGAATAGCCTGGGCTCGCCTGCTGGAGGACAAAAGAACACAGGAAGAAAGCCGAGACGTTTCAGCCGACAGCCAGCCACTCCCTCATATACCCAGTGAGAACCCAGCCAGGACCAGAAGAATTGCCCAGATGAACTTAGCTCACATTGCCAACTGGGAAATTATGACCTAAATAATGATTGTTACTGATGGCCACTAAATTTGAGGGTGGTTACACAGCAAGAGCTGACTGATACACAGGTAATCTCTGATCATTCATGGAAGATAAAACTGAGAGAACAGCTACCATTCAAGTGCTTGCTGTACCTGAAACTTGACTGAAAGGACCCTGTAAACTGTCGAGTGAGGTGTTGCTTGTCATCCCTCTACCAGGCAGGTAGTTGACACCGATCCACCCAAAGAGGTTCACCTACCTTGCAAGAGAGGATGTTCCCAAAGGTGGAGAAGGTATCATACAAGGCCTTGTTGTCAATGGAGTCCTCCAGGTTCTTGATGAAGATGTTGCCCACACCTGACTTGCGAAGTCCTGGGTCTCTTTGGGACCACATGAGGCGAATAGGCTGGCCTTTGAGCATCTCAAAGTTCATTGTGTCCAGTGCCCGCTCCGCTGGACAGAAGGAAGAGGAGCAAGTTAAGGGAATTTTCTTACCTTGACCCCTCACCCCCAAGGTGCTTAATTGGGAGCCAAAAAGAGAAAGTCATTGTCTGGGTCCCACCTGAGACAAAAGCCTGAAGCCTGAGAACTAACGTATATGGTGCGCCCCCCACTTTCCAGTTATGATCTCATTCAACTCCCTGCAGGCACATGAGCATGGATTCCTGCCCCATTTTACAGATGGGAAAACTGAGACTAAGAAACATGAAAGGTCTGAGGCAGTCAGGTCTATTCTGGCTTCTAAGGTACACTGGGTGGATAAGAATGTCCATATGACAAGGGGTGGCAGCACTCTGAGGAAATTAAAACTCAGAAGTGCTGCAGGGCAGAGCTGAGATTAGATCCCAAGCAGTTGGGCTCTTGGAAAAGTGGACAATACCTCTCTGAGCCTGTTCACCTGTAAAGGGAAATGATGATAACATTACCTACTTTTCCACACCTAACAAAGGGAGATATTACAAACTACCTCCAGGCTGTTGGAGGGATTGAAAAATAGAGACAGTGTGCAAGGTGCCTTGTAACTTTGTGCCTGACACCAAATATGCCTGTCTCAAAACAGCAGCTGATGCCCAGCCTCCAGCCACTGCTTCGGCCTGTGTCCCTCCCAGGTGACACATGTGACTTGTTTCAGGGAGTGTGCTAGCTGCAGAGACATGGCAGGGGGCTGTGGGGAACACAGCGGAGCAAGTTTCAGGAAGCCCGGCTTCTCCACCTAGTCCTGTCACAAACACCAGGGGCAAAACCCTTCTCTGCAGTGCAGTTTCTACCTATGAAGTGGGGCAAAAAGGCCAAGTCCCCCCCATGTCATTCACAGGGCTTGGAAGAAGACAGGAAGAGGCAGGAGGTGGGCCAAAGCAGAGCAAAAAGAAAGGCACCCTGGAATCCAACTCAGTAAGGGGTGAGGAACAGGTCCGCGGAACAACCCCTTCCCCAGCAAACCCCCAACTCAGGGAACCAATCAGTCCACCCAGGAGGCCTGGCGCAAGGGATCCCTCTAGTGGACTTGTCTGGGGCAGGCCTTTTTAGGGTGAATTTCCGGAGTCTTATTTCACACTGTTACAGCCACAATTTTTTTTTTTATTTTTTTTTTTTAGGACGGGATTTTGCTCTTGTCCCTGACTGGAAGGCAATGGTGCGATCTCGGTTCACCACAAGCTTCGCCTCCCAGGTTCAAGTGATTCTCCTGCCTCAGCCTCCTGAGTAGCTGGGATTACAGGTGCCCACCACCATGTATTTTTAGTAGAGATGGGGTTTCTCCATGTTGGTCAGGCTGGTCTCGAACTCCTGACTTCAAGTGATCTGCCTGCCTTGGCATCCCAAAGTGCTGGGATTACAGGAGTGAGCCACTGCGCCTGGCTTTGTTTTTTTTTTTTTTTTTTGAGATGGAGTCTCACTCTGTTGCTAGGCTTGGCTGCAGTGGCAGGATCTCAGCTCACTGCAACCTCCGCCTCCAGGGTTCAAGTGATTTTCCTGCCTCCCGAGTAGCACACACCACCACACCCAGCTAATTTTTAAAATTTTTTTATTTTTAGTAGAGACAGGGTTTCACCATGCTGGCCAGGACGGCCTTGATCTCTTGACCTCGTGATCCGCCTGTCTCAGCCTCCCAAAGTGCTGGGATTACAGGCATGAGCCACTGCACCCGGCCTTTTTTGTTTTTGTTTTTGTTTTGAGATGGAGTCTCGCTCTGTAGCCCAGGCTGGAGTGCAATGGCGTGGTCTCGGCTCACTGCAACCTCTGCCCCCGGGGTTCAAGCTACTCTCGTGCCTCAGCCCTCCCCAGTAGTGGGGATTACAGGCGCACGCCATCACATCCAACCATGGTTTTTTTTTTTTTTTTTTTTGAGACGGAGCTTCGCTCTTGTTACGCAGGCTGGAGTGCAATGGCGCGATCTCGGCTCACCGCAACCTCCGCCTCCTGGGTTCAGGCAATTCTCCTGCCTCAGCCTCCTGAGTAGCTGGGATTACAGGTGCGCGCCACCATGCCCAGCTGACTTTTTGTATTTTTAGTAGAGACGGGGTTTCACCGTGTTGACCAGGATGGTCTCGATCTCTTGACCTCGTGATCCCCCCGCCTCGGCCTCCCAAAGTGCTGGGATTACAGGCGTGAGCCATCGCACCCGGCTTATTTATTTATTTTTTGGTTATCACTTAAAGAGCGTATACGAGGTACCAAGTGATACAAGAGATACTTCATATACACACCAGTTCTCCATTCTTTATGCAATTGGGGAATAAGCCTTAGCCCCATTTTGCAGATTAAAAGGTGCAGAGGGTGAAGGCTTCCCCAAGTTTACACTCTAGTGGCAGAACGCGCTTGAAACCCGGTTCTCTGATCTTCATCTTCTCTACTCAACAGAAGTGCAGACAAACTCATCGGACAAGCTCTAATCAATCCTATCAGCTCTGAGAAAGCGGCCTGGAGGCGGCAGTTTTTCAGAGCCCGTGCAGGTGGAAGCACCCAGTGTCGACCTTACGTCTCGCTAGGAAAGGCCTGGGCCCGCAGCTGGGAGCCTCCCCGCTCACCAGCTGTGTCGCCTTGGGCATCTTCCTCACCAGGTGGTTTGAATCTCTCATCCTCACAAGCACTCCATAAGGCAGCTAGGACCGCCATTTTCCAGACAGGCGTCTGAAGCTCAGAAAGGTCGAATTACTTGCCCAGAGTCACACAGCTGCTGGACTTCTATCCCAGATCCGCCTGACCCCTGAAGCCCGTAGCTGTTTTCACTCGACCCTAATCTCTCTCCTCTGTAGAGGAATAGCAGTAAACCACACGAACTGCCAATTCCCATCTCAAGGACCCGGCCTCTGCCAATGCCCTGTATCTTTGAACCTCAGTTTTCCCAGCTGCAAAGTGTAAAATGAAAACGTGGCGGCCCAGTTCTGGCTTTTGTCTGCCCGCCTGCCTGTCCGTCGGTCCGTCCCCTCCCGCGCCACCCCTGGGGCTCACCGTCGGCGGGCTGCTGGAAGTTGATGTAGGCGTAGCCCAGCGAGCGCCGGGTGGCCACATCGCGACACACGCGGATGGACAGGATGGAGCCGGTGGGAGAGAACTTCTCGTAGAGCATTGCCTCAGTCACGTCGGGGTGCAGATCGCCCACGTAGAGCGAGGCAAGCGGGTAGCCCGAGCCGCTGGCGTTCATGGTGGGCAAGAGGCCGGGGCTGCAGAGCAAGCAGGAGCCGGGTCATCCAGCGGCCCCACGCTCACCCGGGCCGGAGCCTTCCCTCTCGGGCGCGGGCCCGCCCCTTCCCTTTACCGCCCCCTGGTCCCCTGAGCACCAATCGTGGGCGCGCTCGGGCGCCCCACCCCAGGATCCCTCCTGGGCCCGCACCCCACCTGCGAGCGCTTGGGGATCTAAAAGCTACAGGTGGGGATACCTCTGACCCCGCCCTGGGAGGCGGGCAAAGCCTTCAACCTGACCTTGAGCATGGCTACGTGGGCTTGAGTGGAGCTCTCAAAACCCCCGCAGTTTTGAAAGGACCGAGGACTGGGACGGAAAGGACGCAGGGGACTGGGTTCTAACCCTAGGTCATCGTCTTTGTGAACCCGTTTCTCTTCTCTGTAAAATGGGAACGACTCCCTCCTGACAAGGATGAAAGGAGACCCAGACCGTGCTTTTTGCTTTTCACATACAAACGGAATTCGGAACTGTTTGTATGTGAAACGCAAAAAGCACTGTTTCAAAGCTCGTGTAGAGAATTTTATCCTGCTCCACTGAAGATTTCTTGCACCAGAGCCAGATCCAGTCCTACCGGAAATGACTTTCAGACGGACTGGAGGATCCTTGTGAGAACTGGGGACCAGTAAGACCTTTCTTGGTAATGGCTCATATTACCAAGACCTCTTCCCGGGATATTCTCTGTGCCCCGAAGCCATTACACATCCATTACACCAGGGAGGTTCACCGAGTTACTTGTGACTCAGCCTCAATGGGGACAGTTGGGACCTAATAGCAGAACAAGACCTAAATGGAACACACTGTCGATCTGCGCTTGCAGCCTCAATCTATCTGTGGTATAAGGACGTTAAAAACAACTACTCCATTGTGCACCAATATTTGTTTCCCTCTGATAGAGGACTTTCCTGGTCTCATTGATGCAACAAAGTAGATAGGCCCCCACTGACCTCCGTGTGTGGCTTCAATATGTGGAACAGCACCCAAACTAAGCACAGAAGGAGCCCATCTGGCTGCCCAGCCTCAGAGTAGCAAGGAAGCACCAATTCTAATCTCGGGCTAAAAATGACCCTTCTATCCTGATTTTTTTTCTCTCCTTGTGGTAGTATGGATGTTTTCAGAAGGGGCAAATCCCGTGAGGAACCAGCTCTGCAGGCCACCATGCAGTGTGAAGACAGGCAAGACAGCAGCTTGCTGATAACCAAGCCTTATGCAACCACAGGTTACGTTTCACTGGCTTATTACACCAGGGTTGAAAAATGGGGAAGGGGTAGGGGATTGAATACAATGCAAAATAACTGCCCATACCAAATCTCAGAAGTCACTAAAGAGGACCTAACACCTGCATGGTTTGTTGCAGAAGGCAGACAGAGATCAAGAGACGAGTGGAAAGAGGCTGTTTAATGAATGGTAGTTTCTTCCCCTTTATAACACCTTGACGTCTGGTTCTAAATAATGAAATAAAACTGTTTACCTATTTTTAAAGAAAAGAGCCAAAAATGAGTGTGATCAGGATAGTTAGCTAGGTCTGGTAGCAACAGAGGTGGTGGTGACACATCAATTCACAGGCAATTAACTGATAAAATTTTTATTTCACTTTTGAATTTTTACACTTTTCCTGATTATTCTGTGTAAGATGAAACTAGAACTGTTTAAAAGACATACACAAATCTAGTACATCAATAACCGGGGATTTTTCTTTTTTTGCTATACTATTTTCACAACCACGGGTGTGCTTGCTAGGCAATATAACCATCACAGAAGCAAACATTAGGCAGAATACTGGTAAGGAAAAACAAAGCAAGAAAAGAGCTACCAGATACACAGACAGGCTTGGTTCCACATTCACTGCTGCATTTTCAAGCGCCAAGTATTAACTGCACATTTTTGTTCAGCTAGGAGGGATTTTTTTTTTTTTTTTTGGTTTGTTTTAAATCAGTGCATGAATGTTTCTTTTCTCATTTCAGCAGATGGACAAACAGATGGACTCTACAGCTAGGTGGAATATTAAAGGTAGAGGGGTGATACTGTGAGACTGACAGGCCTGACTACTCCCAATTCTCTCCACTGCAGTGTCCACACAACTTCCCTGAATACAGGGTCTCCTTAAAACACATCTGAGAGCTTAGCTGGATGAGTGCACTTGGGAAACCTGGTGACAGGCACTAAAAAGCATGATCCACGCCAGCCTCAATATAGGGAGAAATCATGGATATTTAAAAATACTTTTTTGATTCAGATCCTAGTATGACTGAAGAGCAACACTGTGTGGAGAACTGGAGGAAGACAGCTCTGGTGCCAGAAGCTCTTCTCAATCTTTAAAGCCAGGCTTGCTCACCAAGGTGCTCAGTAATGTCTCTTACCCCTGCCCATATATAGCATTAAAAAGTCAACAAAAGACAGATAAAGATAGAATTCAAAAAGGAAAAAAAAGTAAGGAAGCAGAGGGACAGAAACTTAGGAGAGAAGAGAAAACCAAAGTCAATAGTCAAAAAGAATGGTGGGAAAGAATGTTTAGATTCAAAATTTAAAAGCCCCGAGCTATGAAGAACCTGAAAACTGAGAGTACTCCTCAAGTGAAAGGCAATCTCTACAGAACATCAATCCTTTTTTTTTTTTTTTTTTTCTTTTGGAGATGAGGTCTCGCTATGTTGCCCAGGCTGGAGTGCAGTTATTCACAGGTGCAACCATAGGGCACTGCAGCCTTAAACTCCCAGGCTTGGCGATCCTCCTGCCTCAGCCTCCCAAGCAGTTGTGACTACATGCATGCACCACCATGCCTGACTCAGAACATTATTTTTAAAGGTATTAACCAGGAAACAGATAAGGTCACTCATAAAACACACGGCTTTTTTCTTGAGCTCAGTGTTAACAATGAAAATAGATCCCACTATTGAAGCACAAGTTGCAAACTGGTAACACGGTGAACATACTGCTGCAGGAAGAGGGGTTTAGTCAGGTGCATTATGTGAGCACTTGAACTTTTCAAGGTGTCATAAGCCAGTTATCTGCCACAAAGAATTTCAATTTCAGGATTCAAGTTTCCTCAGAGGAAGTCACTGTGGATATTTGTGGTCATGAACTTTTGAGTGGCAACAGCCCCAACAGGTCAAGTGTCTTTAAGTTCCAAACAACAGGCAGCATTACTGTGAATTACCATTAAACTCAAATGCCAGGTGATGTGTGTCTCACTCCAAGTTCCAGCATCACAATATAATCTCTATAACTTTCTGTACAACTTTACAATGGAATTGTCTATTTCAATGATTGTTTTGACATCAGATTAAACTTTCCAAAAAGTTACACATAATTCGGGTCTATTTTTTCTACCAGTAAGAGTTCCGCTAAATTACAAAACCCCATAATCACAGTGTTCAGTTTAAAAAAAAAATTAAACACACAGTAATCCTGTCAAATGTTAATCAAAATCAAAACTTCAGAATGCCGTGGCATTTATGTGACCAATCTGAGTTTTAGATACAAATACCAGCTGTTTATCCCATGAACCATTTTTGCTAGGCTGAGGCTGTGAAAAATCGAAAGTCGACGTACAATTTTTTTTTTTTTTTATCGCACAAGGGATATGTGTGGAGGGTACAGAGTGACACTGAACAAATCACGAAGCATGAGAAACATTAGTTCTCTCCCTCCCCAGCATCTCCTTCGTCTCCCTGGTTTTCTGATGTCCACAGCTGCAAGAGACAGAAAGCATAATCAAAGCAGGGTTACTAAAAGTTACCTAGGTAGGCAGCCCAGTATGCAATATCTTATCTCACTCAAAGTTTAAAATTATTCCTGTGTCCCTGCAGGGATGACTGCAAAGGTCAGAACTTCAGCAGTCATTTATAGCCAATTTAACAACTTAACACTGTAACTACATTTAACAGGGTACAAATCCCCTCTCGAAGATAATAGTGAATTATTAAGTAGGTGAATAGGAAAGAGACTATAAACCCTGTGGAAGTAGTACTTACAGTGAGATTGTCCCTAAGTAACTGCATAATCAGAGTGCTGTCTTTATAAGACTCTTCATTCAGTGTATCCAATTCAGCAATTGCTTCATCAAATGCCTAAAACAAAGAGCCTTTAGCAAAGAATTCACAAGTTCTCTGGAGCTAGTTAGCCCACTTTTTTTTTTTTTTTTTTTTTTTTTGCTAAGTGAATTTCTCTTCTTCTACAGTACTTTGGGGGAACCTAGACTATTATTACCCTGTTTGTTAGCTGTTTCCAGCAAAAGTATAACGCATGTTTACAAAGCACCAACCAACGACAGAAATTCCTAGATAAGAACTTTGCTGTACCTAATAAGTAAGCAATATTACTGCTAACCCTGGCACAGTCATTCTGGGCAAACTCAGGTGATTTTTTGATTACCAAAGACATTTCTAGCAATCTACTATTTATTTTTTTTAAACTAGAACTCAAAAGGTCGGTATATAAGGGATAAAGTGAACCTCACATCACTAAATCTGATTTGATTAAATGATGAAACTTTAAGGCACCTTTTCCAAATAAAATTTTTAAAAAATAATTGTGTGCATTTTGAGAGACTACAAAAAATATGTAGAAAAGGCCAAAGGAAGAATATAGGAGGTAATCTAGCACACAACAAGAATGTGACGTGTATTTCTTTTATACAACCATTACGTCAAATCTTGGCACAAGAATGACAATGTATATAACCAAGGCCCAAAGCTTGGTAAGAAACAACAAACTGGCTGGGATCACGCCTATAAATCCGAGCACTTTGGTAGGCTGAGGATCACCTGAGGTCGGAGTTGGAGATCAGCCTGACCAACACAGTGAAACCCTATCTCTACTAAAAATACAAAGTTAGTCGGGCGTGGTGGCACATGACTGTAATCCCAGCTACTCGGGAGGCGGAGGCAGGAGAATCACCTGAACCCGGGAGGCAGAGGATATAGTAAGCCAAGACACACCACTGCACTCCAGCCTGGACAAGAGTTTTGTCTCAAAAAAAAAAAAAGAAACAACTACATTCACCTGGAACTTTCTACAACCACCTTCCCCAAAAATAGTAATCAAACAAAAGTCAGCAGAAGGTATTGAGAATGAATTTTAAAAAGTAACAGATCTGTATTTACCTCATAAAAGATACACTCCCATCCCCAGAAAAGCTTTCAAAAAGGTCCAAGACAATGAGTATGTTCAGGAAAAAAAAGAAGTTAATAACACAAGCATTGTTTTGCTATGGTCAGAAATCACAAAGGGTCTTTCTCACCGTTTTTGCCAGGCTGCAGGCCTTTTCAGGAGAGTTCAGAATCTCGTAGTAAAAGACTGAGAAATTAAGTGCCAGACCAAGTCGAATTGGATGTGTAGGCTGCATTTCTTTCTTACTAATTTCAAATGCTTCCTGGTAAGCCTGCTGGGAGTTCGACACAGTGGCTATAAGATAAAGATGAAAATATTTAAGGATTGGCTCTTTCACAGATATCACACATTGGACCAACTATTAAATTATTTTCTTAATCCCAAATTGGGCAAGAGCAATGACCTATCAAATGAGGTATCAGTGTCTCTGCCAATCAATTTTACATTTGTTAGATATTTATTCTAAACCAAGTTGTAGATTAAATGCTTTGGGGAAAAACAATTATGATGAAGTCTACTAAAGCATTTAAGAAATACAGATAGAACCTTTAACAATACAGAATGTGAAAAACAATATGCTCTAGTGCAAAGATCACAGGCTTTAAAGTTAATAGATCCAAACTTTAATTCCCAAGTATTATTCCTTAAGTCTGTGGCTAGGGGCAAGTAAAAACCTCCACAAACCTCAGTTTATCAGAAAAATGGGCAGCCTGACATCTAATTCATATGGTTGTGCGAAGAATAAGTGAGACTTGAAAGTACTTGGCACACGGGCACTTGATAAATTGTGGTTATGATTATCACCATCATAGTAAAACGTGTGATAAAAGAAACGCATCACTATGGTAGTTTCATACCATCAAGTATTTTAAAGTTTCACCACTAAATAGAGAGCTAACAAATAATCCTTAAGATAAAAATCTTTTAAAATATACTACACACCAGATTTTTAATGTCCTCCATATTTCCCTATCAGATAAATATTTATTTGCCCATCCATCACCCCCATTCATCACAATGCTGTGGTCTTTTAAATTCTTAGTACTGCAACGTTGGTGTCTATAGCAAACAGACAAAGCAAAAACTGTTAAAAGTCACTGTGAACAAAAACATAAAAACAAACAAACAAACAAAAGTCCCTGTGAAAGCAGACTGGCTCCATTACTGGTCAAATTTCTTTTCAAAGGTATTACTTACTTTGTTTGTTGTCTCCAGATGCCACTTCAGAAAGATACCTAAAATAATCTCCTTTCATTTTCAAGTAGAACACCTTACTTTCAGGTTGTGTAGCATTGGGAATAAGATATTTGTCCAACAGTTCCTAAAAAATGATTCACATTGTTGAGAATTTAGAATTACTCACAGGATGTTAAAAAAACTATGTTTGAGATTCAAAATACACTACTGCTTCTAAATAATTTTTTAGAAGATTAAAAAAACACCAATTTTTCATCCAAGCTACTAAATGTTGTTTAGCCCAGGTCATAATAGCAGATGCCTGTATTCTTCTGTTAAAAATCACTTTGACCATCCATAGAGGATAATTAAAGTACAGCCATGCAATGAAATGCTTTGTAAGCCTTTAAAATGATGCAGAACTACACAGATAATGGAAAGGCTCTCCAAAGAAATCTGAGTGAAAAAAAGCAGATTATAAATACCACAAGAATCCTATTTTAACAATAAGATACCTATGTGTACATGCTCACAAATACCTAAGGAAAAAGCCTGGAAGGAGGATGTTAATAATGGTTCTCTGGGTGATAAGATTAGAAGTGATTTTTACTTTCTTATTTATATTCTTCTGATTTGTTCTCCCCACCCTTTTTAAACCCATAAACTTGTATTACTTCTATAATTAGAGGGGGAAAAAGTATTTCCCTGGGAGTAAAAAGGTGATAACAGAGTAAAACTGCTAAGAACTAAGTTTAGAATCAATCTGACCTGGGTAGAAATCCCTCTTCTGTCACTTATCTGTATGACTCTGGACAAATTACCTAATCACCTTGAGCCTCAGTTTCCTAAGCTATATGAGGGATCATCTTCTAGGGTATAGCCATCTTCTAGGGTAGTTATAATGATAAGTTGACATACATAAAGCGCTTAACACGTTGCCTGGCACGCAGTAAGCACTCAAAGAGTAGCTAATACTATTAATAATAAATTCCTTTAAACATGTATGCTTACAACAAAAGTAGTTCTGAAGGAGTCCAAGCTTCGTATACAGAGCAATATTTTCGAAGAGTTGTTTTAGAATGTGGCATCCTGAAAAACTGGTTAAGAGGCAGTAAGTACCAAGCTCTTCTTCACCTTCTTTCAGATGCTCTTAAAAGTTGATCTACATTTCATGAATTATGGACTTTCTTGCCCTTGGAATGCATGACACACTTCATCTGAATACCAGATGTACCTAACATTCAGGAATTAGTGCACCATTAACAAACCCCCAAATTATCAACAGGCAACAAATTTAGCCATGACACTCTTATGCCATGAGTCTAATAAAAACAGAAGCTCAATGCAAAGCTTACTTATAAAGGGATTTAATCAACCAAAGTGAAAAGACGCAAGGGGCGGTAGTCATTTTTTAATATTCTTTGTAGAGAGACAGTGTGTAACTCCTAATGGGTTAGGGATGAGGGGTGCTGCCTGATGGCTGACAAGCTTTGTACTGGTTTTCAAAAGAAAGGAGTCATGGGCAGTAATTCGGAAAGGCGGCCAGCAGGGGAGGAGGTAGATCCCCAAGTGTGAATTCTTTTTCCCTTTTCAAAGCAGCCCTCACTCTTCATTTTTACCTGATTTCAACTGTTAGAAAAATGTTCCCAATGGGCTCAGGATGTGGGGGAAAGACAATATGACTGTGATTTGTTTTAGAGTATGTACCTCTCCCATTCAATCTCAAGCGGTGGCCAGAGTGAATCAATCATCTGACTAAGGCTTATGTAAAACACAAGAAAGGAGAATCCCCAAACCACTCTGAATTTGGCTCTGGAACACATGCTCAACTTGATGGATGTGCCCAACTTTCAGACCAAAGCAGGACTTACAGCCCGGCCTTTTTATTTCCCTCTGCTACTGGAGATGACATCACTACTCAGACTAATATACATAATAGCCTATCTGTGGCTGTATCTATTAAAATCCTTTCTATCTGGACTCAATTTTAAAAGATGGAAGGAGGCTGAATAAATGTTACTGTTTTTTCACAGGTCTTTTTGATAGGAGAGGAAAATATCTCAGAAGTGATGTACAACCTCTGATCAGGCAATAGGTGATAAAAATTACATGTGCTTAAAAATTAGTTGTAAATGGCTGGCAGCTTTCCAGTATATTCAGACGCCTCTCTCTCATAAGCTGTTTTGAGAATCTGCATTTATACATTAATACTATTTAGAAACCACTGTTCAAAACAGAAGCACTGGCCTCTTACCAGAACATCATTGCAGATGTCCTGCAGTTCTGCCTCTATCTTCTCACGGTACTCTTTGCCCATCTGCTGCTTCTTCTCATTTCTCTCTGTTTTCTGCTCAATGCTGGAGATGACACGCCAGGAAGAGCGGCGAGCACCTACCACATTCTTGTAGGCAACAGAGAGCAGATTTCTCTCTTCATTGGAGAGTTCATGCCCCTGTTCTGTGACTGCCTTCATGGCTGCAGCCATATCATCATAGCGCTCAGCCTGCTCAGCGAGTTTGGCTTTCTGTACCAGCTCACTTTTATCCATTGTCATTCCTTAGAAAAAGAGCAAGACAAAAAGAGAGAGCAAATGTCAGGTTCCGGGGCCCAGGAAACATATGGGTGAATCTTCTTCCAACCCATCTGGAAAGAAGCAAACTAAATGTGAAACATCCAGTTCCAAATGCCATCAACAATACTGATCATATATTGAACACCTTTGGGGTTAGGTACTTTGCTAAAGCCTTTTTGTTATTTCAGTCAAGTAGTCTTCCCAACTGTCCCACAGGGTAGGCATGTTCATAACTCCTTTCCCCTTCTTAGGGGTGGAGAAATGGAGGGTCAGAAAAAAGGCAAGTGGTATGTCCAAAGCAACATGCAAACAGATGGAGAGCCAGAACTCAAAACACATTTTTCTGTCTCTAAAGCTTTTGTTTTCCTCCATTAGCCTAATTCACCTGCTCAGCACATACAGGCTGCTTAATAACTATCTCTTTAGAAGTTTATGCTTACTCACCAAGTGCGGCAGATCACACCTGCAATCCCAGCACTTTGGAAGGCCAAGGCGGGTGGATCATGAGGTCAGGGGTTTGAGACCAGCCTGGCCAACATGGTGAAACCCCATCTCTACTAAAAATATAAAAAATCAGCCAGGTGTGGTGGTGGGTGCCTGTTATCCCAGCTACTTGGGAGGCTGAGGCAGGAGAATCGCTTGAAACCAGAAGGTGGCCGGAAGGTGGAGGTTGCAGTGAGCTGCAATCACGCCACTGCATTCCACTCTGGTGACAGAGTGAGACTCCGTTTCAAAAAAAAAAAAAGTTTATGCTTACTATATGTCCTTGACTCTCTCAGTAATTGTCTGGTTTGTTTGTCTTAATGACCTGAAGCCAACTATATCCTGTAATACAGGATGTCCTCTCTTCACTGTCCTGTAAGGAACTCTAGTTTCGACTAAACCTGTTGCTTTCCATAGCATAGGAAAAAGTAAGTATGATGATTGTTTCAACCAATCGTGAAGCAAAAGAGGATGATTTTACACAATCTATTTGGCTGCACCCATCAAGCAGCAGACACTGAAAGATGGGAAAGATTATTATCGTATCTTCTGTAATTTGCTTTGTTACCAAGACACACTGTACAGGAAAATAATATAAACTAAGGGCAGTCAGACTTGGGCTCTATCTAGCACTGGCTCTGCTTCTTACAAGTGGTATGACCTTGGTTAAATCACTCAACCTGAGAGCTTCTTTCTTTTTTTTTGAGACAGTCTCACTTTGTTGCCAGGCTGGAATGCCATTGGCACAATCTTGGCTCACTGCAACCTCTACCTCCTGGGTTCAAGCGATTCTCCTGCCTCAGCCTCCCAGGTAGCTGGGACTACAGATGTGCACCACCATGCCCAGTTAATTTTTGTATTTTTAGTTACAGATGGGGTTTCACCATGTTGGCCAGGATGGTCTTGATCTCTTGCCCTCGTGATCCGCCCGTCTCAGCCTCCCAAAGTGGTGGGATTACAGGCATGCGCCACCGCACCCAGCCCAGTTTCTTTTTACTGGGCAGTAAGAACACTACCTAGGGCTGGATGTGGTGTCTCACACCTGTAATTCCAGGAGTTCAAGAATATCCTGGCAAGACAGTCTTAACACAGCAAGACCTCATCTTTACAAAACAAGAAAAAATTAGCTGGGTGTGGTGGTGTGCACCTGTAGTCCCAGCTACTCAGGAGGCTGAGGTGGGAGGATCACTTGAGCCCAGGAGTTCCAGGATGCAGTGAGTCATGATTGTGCCATTACACTCCAGCCTGGGTAACTGAGTGAAACCCCTGTCTCAAAATACAAATAAACAAAAAACACTACCAACTCTTTTATTAGACCTGTTAAGAGGAAGAAACAGCCTGATACATGTGAAAGCACCTTGAAAAGTATAAAGCATTATATAAATATATCAGGCACTAATTTTGTATATGGTACAGACTGTAAGAGAAAGTGGTATATAGTAAGATGTACAGCAACAGGATCTCAAACCACAACTGAATTCACCTGAACCATAACTGTGTTATTTCAAAAGTTTTTCTGAAATAGACAAAAATCCTAGTGACTTCAGTTTATCAATTTCAAATCCTCTATATACACCAATCAGTGAATATCTCTTATCAACTCACCACAGTCAATTCCCCACTGCAATAATCGCCATTTACAGTGTGGCAATTTTAATAAGTAATTTGGATGAAATAACTTAAAAGTTATTTACTAAACAAGAAAAGTTAATTTTATGTACTGTTGGTTTAAATATCAATGTATCAATCTGTGCCACACAATGTAAAAACAGGTTAATATCTTTAGGTATAAAAACATGAAATACTACTTTAAACAGCAGTAGTAATATCAGGGTTTTGTTTTGTTGTTTGAGACGGAGTCTTGCTGTCATCCAGGCTTGAGTGTAGTGGCACAATCTCGGTTCACTGCAACCTCCACAGTCCAGGTTCAAGCAATTCTCCTGCCTTAGCCTCCCAGGTAGCTGGGATTACAGACACGCGACACTATGCACAGCTTACTTTTCTATTTTTAGTAGAGACGGGGTTTCGCCATGTTGGTCAGGCTGGTCTTCAACTCCTAACTTCAGGTGACTTGACGGCCTTGGCCTCCCAAAGTGCTGGGATTTATAAACATGACCCACTGCTCCAGCCAATGGTTTTTTTTTTTTTTTAATTTAAGATGGAGTTTCACTCTTGTTGCCCAGGCTGGAGTGCAGCGGTGTGATCTCGGCTCACAGCAACCTCCACCTCCTGGGTTCAAGCAATTCTCCTGCCTAAGTCTCCCTAGTAGCTGGGACTAAATGCATGCACCACCACACTCTGGTAATTTTGTATTTTTAGTAGAGACAGGGTTTCACCATATTGCTCACCATGAACTCCTGACCTCAGGTGATCCACGCACCTCAGTCTCCCACAGTGCTGGGATTATAGGCATGAGCCACCACTGTACCTGGCCAAAAATGATTTAATTTTAAAATAGCAAAGAAAGTATGACCTCCACTTACCTGGCACTTCCTAAAAGTGATTTGATGTCACTGGCATTTCCTAAAAGTGCCAGGTATACGAGAGAGAAGTCAACTTTCAGTGATTCAACAAACTAGAAAATTTCCCGTCTGTAGACTAATTCAAGGTTAGAAGTCACTCTTACAGGCCCACTTCAAAGTTCATAAAACAGTACCTGTGCAACTCTACCTACAAATGACTCCAAATAATAAAGTACTGGCCAAAAGTCAATTCAGAGCTAAGCCATCCCATGCGGCATCATAATGGGGTAATAAAGGATTTCCACTGCTAAATAATGCCATCAACCTCTTCAGCTCTACTAGGCCCCAAAATTAAGTTACCACCCCCACTTACTTCTCTCCTTCTCGAGCTTTAAAAATTAAATCATACTACTCCAAAGAATCTTGACTATTCATCAGTGGGACCTCCCAAATATGCATTCCCTATGCCCAAAATAAAATGTGCCCTTTCTGTTTGGGGCCAACTGTTTTAAGCTTCTTGGAGATTACTGCAAGATTTCGTAAGAGATGCAAAACCATTATGACTGAATGCACACCTTTTTAAAATCTGTATCCATTCAAATTTTTTACATTACACACATATAGAAACAACTTACACCAACCAAAATCCATAGCTAAATATCCTGATGGCTATTGCTTACATAACTTTTGACTTATATAACATGGATTTTGAAGCAGCTAGACCAATTTCAACAGGAAATGGGTTACACAACACCCAGCAGTTTGGAGGAAGGCAGCAAACAAAGGAGAAATGAAATTGCTCCCATTTCTACATCTACAAATCTCCACCCATAATCTTGCCCTAGTGGCACCGCTTTCAGTCATTCATTATCTACAGCCCCCTCCATGCCTTTTGCTGTAAGACCCATTTTCCTATAACTTTGATCAAGTCACTTCCTGCTCAAAATTCTTTAAAGTTCCCTGATGCCAAAAGCAGAGTCAGATTTCCTCCCTGATCAGTGAAAACTTGCCAACCTATCTTCCAGAACCCCACATCATGCCTTCCACATCATATGTGCGTCTGCCAAAATGGTTTTCTTATATATACAAAGACACTTCTCTATCTTTGCTCACCAAGCCGCTTCCTCTACCTGGAATGTCTTTTCCCAAATTTACTCTGCATACAAGATTCTTCCCAGTGTGGCTCAGATACCCATCCCTTCCATGAAGCCTTTCTTAAGCTGTTAAAGCCATAGCCACATGTGGCTATTCACTTAAAATGTGCCACATAATGAAATCATAATGCTTTGTTCATAATGGGTTAAGTAAAAATAAACAGAATTTCACTTTGTAAAATTATTTTAATTCAGCTACCAGAAAAATTTAAATTACATGCGGCTATTTCTATTGGACAGCATTGCTCTAAGACGAATATATTCTCACAAAGCATTTCACTGATACCTGTCAATGTCTTACCACGTTTCTTCAGTATTAAAATTACTTGTATACTAAAACTACTTGTAGAGTATCTCCTATTTCCCTTCCTACCCCATAAGCTCCTTTGGGCATATCTCCCACAGCATCCTGTATATAATTGGTGTGAGCAAATAATATCTGCTAAATGAATGAACTGATCCTGAAATGTAAGCATAAAACTGCAAAGCTGGTAGAGTTCTCTCTTTTCTCAAATAATTCAAAGCAGTTATTTGTCACAAGCATATTAAATCTTCATTACATTTGTACCTAGTTCCTTGGATTTCTGCGCCTTCTCAAATTCAAAGAGTAATTTCAAAATTAGTCTTCCAGTTAAGTACAGTGGATCACATCTATAATCCCAGTGCTTTGGGAAGGCAAAGCTGGAGCATCACTTGAGACCAGAAATTCAAGAACAGCCTGGGCAACATAGTAACACCTTGTCTCTACAAAAAAATAAAAAAATTAGCCAGGTGTGGTGGCTCATGTCGGTGGTTCCAGCTACTTGGGAGGCTGAGATTGGAGGATCACTTGAGACTAGGAGGTCGGGGATGCAGTGAGCCATGATTACACCACTGCACTGGAGC